CGTCTGAGCTGGCCAGCCTGCGGGTTCCCAGGTGTTGGACTGTATGTCGTGCGTAAATTCGCGAACAGAAGGAAACAAGCACTGCAACTGCGGCAACGCAGGCAAGAGTTGCTAGAGCAGCGCGTAGGGACGAAGCGGAACGAGATGCTTTATGTCTCAAATTACGCGAACGAGGAACGGTCGATCCCACCGTTGGCAACTCCGAAGAGGCAACGGCTAATGCAGGGCCTCGAGCGGCATTCTCCTGATGAATATTGCGCCGCTCTGGCATTTGGCCGCACCTTCAAATTGTCAAGGTGAACGTCATGAGCAGCACAACCTGAAAGGGCACTGTGCGGTAGCTGTGGCTGGGAAAACCCCGCAGTCTTCGACCTCTCCAACAGAAAGGAAGTCTATAAGATTGGTGTTAGATGTTGTAGGCTTGTTATAGTCTTCATGGGAAAGCTCTTGTGAGCGAATATGAGTGTAGTTCCGAACCAAAGCAATGCGTGCAATGTGGCCACTGGAACAAGGGGGCGGTGTTTTTTTTGAAAGCTGTCGGGGGTTCCACAAGCACAAAAAAGCGTCGACAGGGATGAAAACATCGGCCCCAATATAAAAGTAAACTGGAAAATAAACAGGAATGAAATGGAGCTTGGTTGAAATGAAATTTCAGTAATTGTGGGGAAGTCCTTCTTACGTTGCCGTTTCCGTACTGTAGTGCACCGGCACTACAATGGCGCTGAAGTCGACCCTCTAGAGGCCTATCGACCAGAAATAGTAAAAGAATAAACTCTTGATAGAAATGAATCAAATAACATTAGGTAAAAAGAAGGAAGCCGTGCGGCTGCACGACAAGGTCCCCAGGTCAGGGGCTGACTGTGAGGTTGGCACTGCCGCCCAGGCGCCGACCCGCTAAGGGGTCACGGGGGGAATTCTGTTACTCTTGGTTTTCCCCTCTAAGATTATGGGACGCTAATGAGCTTTTTAAGGGTTATGCCCGTTGTTTGGTTTAATCAAGGGGAGATTCTCGGGGTGTAGTGCTAGGTATATAGAGTGTGCACCTAAGGAAGCGTGAATAGGTGACAGCCGTGGGAGCTGCTTCACTCACTCAGTCTGTAAAAGTCTGGCTGCAACGATTCGTGTGACAGCCAGAGACCCAGTACTCACTTGACTGAACTAAAATCACCGTTCCTACTTTCAAAATGCGAAGTTCTTCATAGTTCTTTCTGTAACTCATTAGTTCTCCTTGTTAAGGTTAGACGTTTGACGTTTGCGAAATTGGCGTCTTTGCGAGGTTCGCGTACAGTCGCACATAGACAGACGACTATTCTCCAATGGTGGCATTTGGTCTCATCAAAAGCGGTTCTGCTTTGTTTTTATAGCGTTTGGGTTTTCGTTCTCATTTCTTCTGGCGGAGAACAATGGCGAATGCTGTCAGGTGTTGGAGTGGCCTGTATCGCCAACAATAGCCATACATCCTCTGCTTTAAATGTACACACCTCTTCCGCATTATCTCTTCCTCAGATACGTTTGTGTGCACTAGAGCCTAATTCCACTACTGTGATTTACGCTGAAGTTGGAAGAAAGGCTTCTTGATGCAGCGTCCGTCCAGCTCCGATGGGTCGTGAGCTGGTCGGCCGGTAGAGCTTTGTGTTGATATAAAGCGGATACAGCGAATCAGTTTCAGACTACTCCGTGTCAATTCCTTCATGCTTCCCTTCGCATCTCACGTCCTTGCTACCTCGTGCCATACAACTGGCTTTCTTCTCTCGGGTAGCAAGGCCCAAGAGCATGTAGACTTGGGGTCGGTTCGCTGCGTATCATGCGAGTATACGGACCCACACTTTCCAGTTGCAACTTGTACACGTACTGGACCCTAGACTATTTATTGATAGTCGTTGCGGAATTCTCCCGATGAAACCCCTACTTCACTTCCAATGGGCGAGGCAATCGACGCTCGAGTGTTGTCCCGGCCCGTGCCCAGTACAAGTATGGTAATGTTAAGTCCCTGGGACTGGAAAGCCTGTGAACTTGCAATCGCCGAAGCTTGATTCTGACGTGGAATTCGTCATTATTATTGCTGTGACCTACTCCTGAGCTGCGACGAATTGAGGGCCACAAATTCAAATTAACCAGTTGCTTGGCAATCCAAGAAGGACTTCACATCTGGCTAGCTTTAGCACGTGGTTAACACAGTTGTAAAGACGGTCTTTCATCTTAGCTGGTGACCGTCATCAACTGAAGCACTGTCACAGACTAAGAAACAACAGTCACCTACCCCCCGAGTCCTCAGGCGTCGTGGGCATATCCACCCAAAGGCCTTGGCCTGGTGTGAAGGCGCGTCCTGCCCTGTGCTGCAACGAACGTGCCTACAACTCAAGCTGTAAGCCAGTCCCGGATGTAAACACAATCAATCTCGTTCACGCATGCACTAACGCTGTAGCCAACCGTCCAACACTTAAATAGTTCCCGGTGAACAGCCTGCCGGCAAGCGGAATTACACTTGCAACTTCAGAATGATCATGCTGCGATGGTATGTCGGAAACTGATGCATGCACGCTTTCGTGCGGCTTGACTTCTGAGGGCGAGGGTAGTATTTAAAAACTGACTACGGCTTCAGTACCTGTGCCGTAAAGGAGCTTGGGTATGCTTGCATGTGGGGTTTCCACGCAAAAGGAGTAGGAGCTGGAGTGAAAAAGCTCACAAGAGGCCACCCGTGCAACGACAGCCCTCCATCTTCGGCCGGGACCGTCTCGAACGGCGATCGTCAGAGTACTGAAGATAAAGAGTTTCTGCAAAAGCACCTGATTTCCCCTACAGGTTTCCGGCGTCCTCGCCACACTTGCACAAGAAGCAGCCTGGTGCCGTTGCTGGGACGGGGTAGCTTGTGAATACTTGGAGCGCAACTTGCTACAACTCGCGCTGCAAGGCAACCCAGCATGTAGCCACGCCCATGCCCCTTTTGATGAATAAACTGAAAATACAGACAGCTTTCAAACACCCCTTTCGCCTGCGGTGGTAAACCTGAACTCAAGGACAAAAACGTCGGCCTGTGTCAGGCAAGTCATGCGTCATACAGCCCAGAGTATGAACGCCCCCTTTCACGGGAAACGTCTTATATGCTGTTTACATTTGACACTGGCGCCCGTGTCAGTGACGAGGCTTAAACCCTCAGCGGAATCCACATCGAGTGAGCACACACAAGCATGGAAACGCTAAGGCACAAGCTCTCAGGTGATGGTGCTGTAGCGCCTGCACTAAGACCTCCAGTGATTACATTCAAACCCATAAACGCCATCAACGCCTTCGACCAGATCCAGAACCCACGTACCTTAGAGCTGTACGGCGGAGGGCTACCAAAGCATCGTCTCCGACCAAGTTCATTTCACTTCACTTTAGCAACTCCCTCCTTCAGCCACTTTGGAAGGGTCAGAAGTCGTCACAGTAGTAGCTGCTGGTGTCCAATGAATGCAAGCGGAAGGGACACAAATGTTGTTTCTACTAAAACCCTACATGCGAAATCTGCGTATTCAGTTAGAAGATGCTATGGCATTTTGTCATCCGCCCTCCACCGATCGAATTCCTGACTTTTGAAACGCGTAGGAGAAGCATCCAAACAGAAGAGCATCCGTTTGATCTTCACGAGGTCACTGGCATCCGGTCTCCTCCCCGTCTTGAGTGTTTGCATTGCCCTGCTGAGCTGCTGACCTAGAAAAGAGAAGAAAGTCTGTCGCCCTGCGCTGTTTCCCCGTATTGTCAGAGGAGGGGCTGCGTGGCTAATGGAATCTACTACGCTCTTCCAAAGGCTGGGGTCTGGTGTCTGTTCGAGAACTATAAAAGTCGAAACCACAGCATCTAGCAAGAGAAAACGGATACCCAAACGCTCCACTGCGCGGCTGGTCTGGTGATCCGATAGGTCCTGAGTTTGATGGTTCACCGCATTCCCCACCAGATTTCTTGCTATATACGCTAAGTTCACAGTGTCCGTAACAGACAAAAACCGAAGGGACAGCAAATCGTGGGCCTCCTGTAGCAGCGGTACGGCATCCCGCCTGCCGGGACAAGTGGCCAAGGCACGCCTCAAGTCAACATAACACCAAGGCACCTTCATCTCAACCATCCGCCTTGGCAGACGCACAAACGGGTGATCCATAATTTCTCCAAAACTAAAATCCGGCACCAGGGGCAGCGCTGTGACTAGAGGAGTCCACGCATGCATGCTCACGGTGGAACGTGCTGTTGCGGTTGCTTCTGGTCCTGAAGCTGCTGCTCCTGCACCTTCAACACTACCACCAGTCAGTAAAGTATAGCCGGTAGGAACCCCCAAACTCGCGCCTTCCCCCGCTGCCGTCAATGCAGCAGAACACGGTGCAGCAGTGGGCAACTCAAGAGCAGCTGCTACGCTTGCTGGTGCAGACAGTCCTTCAGGAGCTGCAGCAGCTCCACCCCTGGAATTCTCTGCATCCACACAAGTAGGAAGTGCGGCATGACCAGCTTGTGCGAATCCCTGAACCACCTGTAACCGCCATTGCGTTGAGGGACACGCTACTGCTGCAGCAGAAGGAGATTGCAACGCCTGTTGAAAGGTGCTCGGCGGAAGCGGGTGAGGCCTTTGAGAGTCCGGGGAAAGCCATGCATCTTCTTCCATATACGCTGAAGGCTGACCGCCAAGTTGCGCAGGCTGCACCTGATGCTTCTCTTGCTGCGCCGGCTGCTCTTGTTGCTTTCGCTTCCGCTTTCTTCCTGCGTGCTGTTGGTGGCTCTCCTGCGGCGTGACCCCTTGCTCCTGCTGCTGCACCACTTGGTGATGCTCCTGATTCTGAACTGACTGCTCGTAGGTTTGCTGTTCCAACACATTCTGCTCATTCTGGTTCACCACGTGCTCCTGCTGCTGTTGTTGAAGCGAATGCTGGTAGTTCTGCTGCTGCAGTAGAGACGGACGCTCCTTGTGCTGTAGAAGCAAATGTTTCTGTTGCTCTTGAACCAAAGTGTGCAGCTTTTTTCGCTGCTGCCAACTGGAATGTTTCCAATACTCGTGTCGATGCTGCTGCTGATACCGCTTGTGCTGATCCCGCTGCCTGTGGAGCTGGGCAAGCTGGTGTTGCCGGCTGCGCGCCTTCCTGGGAAGCAGCCAGTGCAGCCGGTGCAGCTGCCGCCGCATCCGGCGCAGTTGCCGCTGCAGCTTCCGCACCTCCAGCGGGGCTGTTTGACTTGCGCATGCGACAAAATGTCCAGCAGCGTGCTGGCGAGGGTGGAGACTCAGAAGTCCTGTGTCTTCATCGAGCTCTGCCGGCGCTCGCAGTTGTGCTGAAGAAAGTGCGCCGCCCACCGGAAACTGTGCCAGGCCAGGCTTGTCTGGAACTCCATACGGTTGAGGCGGGGATAAACCCAGCAAAGGTAAAACGGGGGCATGAAGACCCTGCTGCTGCGGTTGTTGCCGGGGAATCCCTCCACCACCACCGGTCCCGGCTTCAGCCACTCTGATCAACAACCGCTTTTTAAGTGGCAGTTTCCAATCTCTGCCACTAGGCAAGCCAGATGGACCCGGATCCTGGCGCCGCTGCTGCTCCTCTCCAGCACCGAAGCTGCTGCAAACAGATGCATCACTGGGTTCTGACCTGGCCAGCCGGCGGATACGAGGGTTCTGCACAGCACGTCTCGCGTAAACGCGAGAACAGAAGGAAACGAGCACTGCAATTGCTGCAAAGGAGGCTAGTGTTGCCAGAGCAGCGCGCAGACACGAAGCGGAACGACAGGCATCTGGTCTCCCGATACCCGGCCGAGGAAAGATCGATTCCAACGTTGGCAACGCCAACGATGCAAAGGCTGGTGCAGCGCTCGGAGTTGCACTGTTTTGGAGGATGTTATGCCTCTCGGACATTTGGCCGTAGTTTTAGGTTGTTATAGCCGAAGCCATGAGCCACGAAACCTGCAACAGCAGAGTCCCTCCGGTATGGCTCGGAATACACCGCAGACTTCCTCGTTGGCAACAGAGAAGAAGTTCAAAATCTAGATGGTAAGTACTGTAGACTTGTTTTATTCTTCCAGAAGATGTTCTATGAATAAAAAAGATCTAACTGAGAGCAACGCAATCCACAAAATTATCCCGACGGAATGCGGAAGCGGCGTAGGTAGTGAAATCAATAGAAAGCTTGCTCTACAAGCACAAAATCGAGTTGCACCGTGCGACAACATCAACTATAATACTAAAAGTTTGTGTAAAACACATAAAGTTCAAATGGGACACTATTTAGGGAGAATTTTCGAGGGTTATATGGTATGCATTCTGTCGACATTCCCTGAGCGCCACGAGACGCTGGAAGTGGTCTAATCATGGCGATTCATCCGGCTGCCTTACACGCACTGCTAATTTACCAAATAACAAGCAGTATTTCTGTTTCACAAGGAATAAATGAGTAAATAGGCAATAGTACAAGTGATTGTCTCTCTTTGTATGCCGCAAAGTGACCTTACTGAGGACTAAAGTGGGCCGCTTGGGCATTCGCGGAAGGTCAGTTAGACAATCGTCAAAAGAAAGACAACCGCGCTCCAACAGCTGCACTTGAATCCACTAAAAACTGCGCGTCTCTGTTATTATTCCTGCACGTGGCTTCATTTTCATTTATTCTGATGAATGACTGCGACGTGCAGGAGAAAATGAACGATGTGAAGGATGCACGCACCTCCACCTGTCACAAGACAACCAATGGTGGGGAACCTGCGGTTAAATATCTTGCAGTATATAAGTGTCTTCATTGGGGTCTATTTCCTTACTTGCCATTTATATTGAGGAATAAATGGTTTGTAAGGCTTTCGCCGTCGATCCAGCTACAGTTAGCTTGATGGCTCGTGGGGTCCTAGGTCGGTAGGTGTTGATTACAGCTCGGTTGTTAGGCAAAGCACGAATGCAACGAAGGCCAAGTTGAGTGTCTTTCTTCTCATCTCCTTATTTTTGCTTGCACGTCTCAAGCGTTAGGTTTGCCGGTTTTTTTCATTCATTGTCGGCTCCCCGTTTTCCTTATATGGTGCAGCAGTTGCAAAGTGAGTGATTTGAGATCTCGTCCTGCATATCATCCGCATGCATTAGCCCATTAGTTGAAAAGGCATATTATTTGCTTATTATATCCTAGGTCTGGTGGAGAGGCGCGACTGAATTGGCCCCGGAAGCCCCTTCCAATAGGCATTGAGGGCAGTGGTGTTGCGTTCCTCCCCAACAACTTAGTGTGCCTACTGTGGTGGTGCCAAGCCTAGGGGCTTACGAAGCCTTTGAAGTAATACAACTTGTTTAATTTGTTACATAAGTATTCACCTGAACTGTTCAGAGGGGTAACGCAAAATTATCATGGACTCAAAGCTATCGGGTTCTCAGAAAACCTCGAAGCAGCCTAGCCTTAGCAGGGTCCGAAGCATTGTCCGTCTGAATTTGGTACACTCGCATTTACCCTGCCTGCAGACTGGCGCTTGAAAGCCGAGGGAGTGTATAAAAGCTTTGTGTGGCGTCAACCCGTTCACCAAAAAGGGGCTTCACCATGCCTGCATGTGTATTTGCCCTGCAGCAGAAGTTGCCGCAAAGAGTAATGCAACCCTCGCTGGCCTCCTCCTCTCTGCACCAGCCACTGAACAACAGGTACAACCACGCGTACCATTCGTCAGCCAATATGAGCATAGAAGATGCCATATCGTAAATTTGCTAAGCCGTCTCATATGCAGTTACTCCATGCGAAGCAGCTGCCACTGGAGCTCACGTCATTGGCGAAGCCCGAACGCTCCTCGAAAGCAGCAATGAATGCACGTCCCCAGGTGTGGAAAAGCTGTATTGCGTGCCAGAACACCCTGGCAGTGGCGCTGTATCGCCTGCGCTAAGACCCCCAGTCATTCAATTCAAATCCCGAAACACCAGAAACGCCTCCGACCCTGTTCAGTACCTATGCAACTTAGTGTAATGAGACGAAATGTAGTCAAGCCTTTATAACCTCTTCTACTAAGGTTCACTTACTCCATTTCGGTTGCCTGCACCGTCTCCGCTCCGCTCATCTTTAAGCGGAAGCATCCCAGCGTGGCGCATGGCGCTTTTGAACTTGCTCGAGCAGTTTTTGCCCGAAAATGTGACTCCTTTGGGTAGGCCAGAAGCCGCCAAAGTAGTGGCAGCCGATGGAAAACGGCGCGTTGTGAAACCATAAATTAGTTTTGGTCATTTATGGCCCATGCGCTTTTCCTCAGGTCCATCTCCTTTTCCACTAAAATGTAGACGAAACCCGTGTACTCCGGTGAAAGATACTATATCCCCTTGAGATGACAACGGTCATCAATCCTCCAGCGATCGAAATCCCTTCTTCTATAACGAAAAGGAGAGCCAGACGTGCAGAAAAGCATCCGCTTGATCTTCAACAGTACATGTGGAGGTGGCCTCCTTCCTGTCTTCAGTGTTACCATGGCGGAGCTGAGGTCCTGCGCCAAAAAGAAGGAAAAAGGCTGCCGCATGGACTCCGCGGGACCGTCGTGGGGCATTGCATCTACGAAACGCTGCCAATACGCAGCAGCTGGTTCCTGGCCGAGCACAAGTAAGGTGGAAACCACAACATCCAGCAGGAGGAAGCGAACGCCCAACCGGTCAACTGCACGGCCAATTTTTTGGTCTGACACCTTTTGAGTCTGATGGTTCATCGCGTGTGATATCAGATGCATTGCTATATTCGTCAATTGCTTCAAGCCATTAGCACGCAATGCCTCTTGCAACAGCAGATCATGGGCCCTCTGTAGCAGCAGCACAACGTCACGCCTGCCGGGAATCTGCTCCACGGCATGTTTCAAGTCAACCTGAGGCAAAGCAGTACCCTCGTCCACCATTGGCCTGGGCAGACGCACAAATGGGTGCTGCATCATTTCTGCATGACTAGGACCCGGCGTCCCTCCGGGGTCGTCAGGATTCCATAAGTATACTTTCATAAAGGAAACCCCTGGTGCGACTTCTTCAGTTCCAGCAGTTCCTGCTCGTGCACCGTCAATACTGCCACCAGCCAGTAAAGCAGAAAGGATCGGTGCCTCCGACCTCATGCCTCCTCTGGCAGTCGTGGATTCATCAGAGGACGAGACAGCATCAGGAGACTCAACGATGGTTGCTCCGTTTGCTACTGTTGCCCCTTCTCCCGAATCAGCAACTTCATCCCTTGAAACGCTTGCATCACCAGAAGTAGGAGGTGCAGAATGACCTCCTACTTCAATCCCCTCTAAAGGGGATTGCCAGGACGTTGAGGGACCTGCTACTGGTGCAGCAGCAGGAGATTGCAACGCCTGTTGGGAGGTCCTCGGCGGAGGCGTGTGAGACCTTTGAGAGTCCGGGGAAAGCCATGCATCTTCTTTTATATACGCTGAGACCGGATCTTCAGGTTGCGCAGGCTGCGCCTGATGCTTCTCTTGCTGCGCCGGCTGCTCTTGTTGCTTTCGCTTCCGCTTTCTTTTTGCGCCCTGACGCTGGCGCTTCTCCTGCGGCGTGACCCCCTGCTCCTGCTGTTGCATCTCCTGCTGCTTCTTCCTGGCTTTTCTTCCCTGCTGTTGGGTTTGCAGTTCCAACAGCTGCTGCTGCTGCTGTTGTAACAAAAGTTTCTGACGCTCTCGAAGTTGAATAAGCACGTGCCGCTGCCGACGCAGGCTCTCCAAATAATCTCGTTGTCGAAGATAAGGATGATACCTGCTGTCTAGAAGCGGCTCGGTGTGGGGCGGCTCCTGGTTCCGATGCCATTTCACCACTGAATGCTTCCATTGCACCAGCTGCAGGTCTTGCTGCTGCCGCTGGATATGCGTGGGCTCAACATCCTCCGTTGCTGCTTGCCTTGCATCTACGACGGATAATCCAGAAGCTTGCTGTTGTGAGCTGCGAGTCATCCTTCGTGTGACGTGGGCTGAAGGCAGTTGGCCGCGACCCGGAAAAGTTGCGTGGCCACGTCCCCCATGCGTTGGATCTACGACTTCTAAGGGTGAACCAAACGGCTCATCGCCTTCGCCGTGATGATGCAGCGCCTCTTGCTGCCTGGAACTATCGCCATCGCCACTGTTCCCGCCCCCAGCCACTCTGGCTAACAACCTCTTCTTTAGGGGCAGATTGCATTCTTTGCCGCCGGACGAGATGGACTGACCTGGGTTCTGGGGTTGGTGCTGCTCCTTTCCATCACTGTGGATGCTGCAAACTGACACATCACTGTCTTCTGAGCTGGCCAGCCTGCGGGATAGAAGGTTTTGGACTCCATGTCTTGTGTAGACGCTCGAACAGACGGAAACAAGCACTGCAATTGCCGCGACGGACGCTAAGGTCGCCAAAATATGGAAGAGACACGAAGCGTAAGGATGGGAGTTAGATTTGGCCCTTAGCTCCCCCGATCGAAGGAAAATCGATCCCACCCCCTTCGACTCCGAAGCGATGAATGCCGAAGCAGCGCTTGAAGCTGCATTTTCCTGAAGAATACAATGCCTCTCGGGCATTTGGCAGCTGCTTTAAATTGTTACAGTAGATGTCATGAGCCAAGAAACCTACAAAGGCAGTGCGCAACAGTTGTGACTCGAAATACAGTGCAACTTCAACCCCAACGGTAGGAAATGAAGTGGAAATGCTGGACTGTAAATGCTGTAGAATTGCTGTGTTGCTCGCTAAGAGGTTGCAGTGAATGAAAATGAATATTATTCACAGCAAAGCGTCGTATCAAATTTTTCCGATAGGGTGCGGAATCGGTGAAGTTGGTTTTCCCATCACTGTGATTCAGCGGAAAGCTCGGTAAGCAGAAACAGTTGTAGGGCGATGTGACAGCACCGAGATAACAAATATACTAAATGAAGGACAAGTAAAATTCAAAAGCAGAATCTATTACGAAGAACTTTCAACTGTCGTTAGGGAGCCCTTCATCCGTCTCCGTTCCCTGCATGCCTGTACTCCCCGAATGCCTGCAGTGGCAACTGGTCGTTTGACAGCCTGGGATTCAGTGGTGCTTCAGTGAACCAGCATTATTACTGCTTTCCAAATGGTGCGGTCATTAATATTACCTGCTCTATTCCATTATGTTGTTGATAACGGAACTCGGCGAAGTGGGGATCTGTGCACGTTCGTCAACCGCCAGCGCAACGACAAACGATCGTGCTCTCGCACTCGAGTTCATTGAAAAGGGAGCGTCTCTGTAAGTAATCCCATGTGTGTCTTCTCTTGCATTTTAGGTGTAAAGAACAGCAACGTATAGTGGAAAGTGAATAATGTGAGCAGCTGCGCGCCCTTCCATGCGTGCATACGCCATCAAGTGCCACAGGCCGTGCGCTTCGAATGCGCAGATGTTTTCAGCAAATATGTTCGACTTCATTCTGGCGTGTTTTCTGCAAGGCTATTTAAATTAAATTTGGAGGACATCACGGGGCCTGCACTTCTCGCACATATCCTAGTTGCCCCTAAGATTTGCGGGCTCCTCCGCGGTCTCGTTCGGTTGCACCTCGGCGTGTAGGCGAACAACAAAGAAAGAGATTCAACTTGAGAATATTCCGTCTTGAATCCTTTGCTTCTTCCCTTTCGTGTGTCGTACTTTACCAGTGGCGCTTCACTCAATTCATCCTGGCCTCCGTGCACAGGCGCCTCTTCCTTCTGGCTATCAATGCGCAGAGCTGCTGACTGTGGGTCGGGGTGTATTGTCGGTGAATCATTCGCGTACGTAGTCTCAGTACATTAAGCTGTACATTGTATATGTATTGCGCCCTAGATTGTGTGGATAAGCGTAGCTGAATTTCCCGGGGAGCCACCTATTTGTTTGGCTATAGCCAACCGAACACAATGGCGTTGACAGGCAGTACTGCTTGGTCAGACACCTGCTGCAAAGCAGCCACATATGCAAGCATGTGAATACCCCCTTTTGATGCATGAAAGAACCGTGGAACTTTGTTGAACACTCTCTGGGCCCTCAGTAACCAGCCTGCATTCAAGAACAATTAACATGTACCACCTTGAGGGAGACAGTCGCGCATGGGCGGCCCTACATTCAAGGGCTCCCCTGGCATGCCAAATCCTCTGTGTAAGAATTTTTACAATGCAGTTGAGCTTAACAGGAGAGAGAGAGCAATAAATCGTTGTAAATTCGGAACTGTGGGATGCTAGGAAACCAGTAGAGTGCTAAACGGCAGGGCTGCTCGAGCAAAGTCTAAGCACTTCTCCCTTAAGTTCATTCGTGCTTGCTTGCGTGCAGATTCTATACTGAAGGCGAATGCAATTTTTGAGCATTGAGCAGTGTGTATGGCGCTAATGCATGCATCAACAGAAGGCTCGGATATGCTTACGCGTGGAGTTGGTTTGCTGCAGCAGTTGTGGCAAGGACTACTCCACCTAATAGCAGTTCTTTCGACACTGGGTCCTCAATAGCCAAGCTGCAAGAAAGTACAAACACGTCTTACCAGCGCAAGGCAAGCCATCTCGAGAGAGAGCATACCGTAAAGGCACCGTTTCTCTGCGCCCTACATCACGAGCCACTTGCGTCTCCCCAATGCGCATCTCCCAATCTGTTTGCTTAATCGGCAATGAATGCTCACAAACATGCTTGGACACTCTGTGATATTTTTGAAACACCTTGGCAATGACTCTGGGGCGCCTGCGCTAAATTCTCAAGTCACTTTATTCAAATCCCGAGTAGGCGATAACGCCTCCAATCCGATGAGCAGCAACGTGGCTCCGTGCAATAAGGCAGAAGGAACTTACAGCTCCGTTACCCCTCATATTAGGTTTTGTTCACTTTATTTAGGTCCCTGCACAGTTGCCTTTCCGTTCATATTCGAGCCCAAGCATTCCACCTTGGGCAAAGGTGCTTTCGAATAAAGCACTTATTTCAGAAGCTCCTCTTCGGAATTGGTAGTAATTTTATCCTTGAGGCGGTCGGAAGTGTCAGATTTCATCATGGAAGTAGCAGCCGATCGCATAATGGGCACAACACAAACAGGCGTTTCCTCGTTTGCGGTTTGAATTTATGTCTTCCCTAAGCATCTTGCCTCTTTCACGAAAGTCCACGCGGAAGTCGCGTTCCTACATAGAGGAGCTACGACTCAACCTTGAAGTTGTGCTTATCTCTCCTCCATCCATAGTATTAATGCCTTCTAAAGAGCGCTTGTATTGCCCCACTGAGGTCATGCGATCTGCACGATGCAGAACGTCGTTGTTCTTCATCGCTTCCCCACGTTGTAGGCGGAGGGGTTGTGCGGTTAATTCTATCCGTGAAGCGCTTTCAGCATATTGGGTCTGGCGTTTGCCCGAAAACTATGAAAGTGGAAACCACAACATCTAGCAGGCGAAAAAAAACCAGTTGCGCAGTTGAGCCAACCGCTCAACTGCGCGGCTAGCTTTGCGTCCTGACATGTTCTGGTGTTGGTGTTGCTTAGCGTGCAACTATCAGATCTTACGGTACGAGCGCCAGCTACTCCATTTGGGGTGAAAACAAAACCGTCTGCGGCAGCAGCTCATGGGCGTTCTGCAGCGGCACGGGGTTCTGCGTGCTGGGCCCACTGGTCAAGGCGCGCCTCAAATCAATGATATGCGAAACAGGCGTCGCCTCCAGCATTGGCTCCGGAAGACGCGCAAACGGGCATTCCATCACTGCTGCAAGGGTACCGTCTGGAGCCCCTGGCAACTCCTTTACTGCCGGAGCAGATATTGATGCGGGCAAAGCCGAACCTGCTGCTGAGTTTGCTGTTGTTCCAGCAATTGCTGCTCGTGCACCTTCACTACTGCCACCAGTTAGGGACGTAGAAGAACCTGTCGTCTCCGACTTCGCCTCTTCTTCATGTTCTGCCGATGCATCAAAAGAGAGGCGATCATTAGGTTGCTCAAGTGCAGCTGCTGCAGTTGCTGCTGCTGCCCCTGTCGCAAGAGCTGTGTCAGCTTCATCCCCTGAAGCCTCTGTATCAGCAGTAGCAGGAGATAATGAAGAAGAAGCTAGTGGATACCCTGGAATCCCCTGCATTATGAGGCGTTCGGACATCGAAGGACCTGCTGATGCTGCAGCGGAAGAATGCAACGCTGGTTGAGCGGTGCTGAGCTCAGGGACCTCAGGTCTGGGAGACTTCCGAGAAATCCACTCATCTTCCACCGAATGCCCAGAGAAAAAATCTGAAGGTGGAAATAACCGCTGCTGCATCTTCTCCGTTAGACACGGCCCCTCTTGCTGTTTCCACGCCAATTTCTTTTGCTCTTGCTCATTCGCTGCATTCTTCTGCAACGTCACCTCTTGCTCGTGTTATTGCTTCTCCTGATGCTTCTCCTGCTGTTGCATCAGGTGCTGCTGTTGTTGTTGAAACATAGTCTGCTGCTGTTGCTGCGGTTGAAGCGAAAACTGCTGCTACTGTTGCCAACGCCGCTGGTGTTGTTGCAGCCGATGCACCTTGTGCCTACCTGGATGCTCGTCGATGTGGGGCTTCTGGTCTCGCCGGTGCCTGCACTTCTTCCGCATCTAGTTCTGGAGACAATGAAAATGCAGATGCATCCGGCTCAACCGTAGCTGCATCCTGCACATCTGTCGGTAAAGCTGCTGCACCTTCACAGACACCGTTTGCCTTCCACCTGAAGCAAAAGTCCATCAGGAAAATGGTGAGGCGGGAGATTCTGCAGTCCTGTGGTTGCTGTGGATTGTATCTTCCTTCACTGTTTCGCTAAAAAGGGGCCTAAGCTCCTCTGGAAATGGAGTCCTTTGACTTGGATATAAAGCAAAAGGACTGGCAGCGGGTTCATCGCGATGCCGCCGGTGCTCTGGCTGTTGCATCATGTACTGCTGTCCCTGCAGTTGAGCCAAATCCTGCTGCTGCTGCTGAAGCATGTGCTGCCACTGCATGTGCTGCTGCTGATAGAACTCGACCAGATCCTGCTGCTGCTGCATGTGGAGCTGCAGCTGCTGACGGTGTCGCCGCTCTCTCTGCAGTTGCCTCTGTAAACGGCGCAGCTGTCGCTTCTCCTGCTCGACGCCCAGGGGTGGCTTCTGGCCTGCATTTGACACCCAGATTCCAGCAGTGTTCTTGTGACGGCTGAGACTCAGCGCTCCCGTTGATGCATCGAGCTCTGTCAGCGTCCGCACCTGGTTGAAGGCAGTGGGCTGCGAACAGGAAATGGCGGCTCCCAAGCCTTGGAGCCCATTGCGTTGAGGATAAGCCAGGAGAGCTGTGGCGGGTTCGTGATGCCGCTGCTGTTGCTCGTTTCGTTGCTGTGGATTGTCTCCACTGCCACAGGCCCCCGTTTGAACGTTTGAACTACTCTTGCGAACAGCTTGTTTTTAGGGGCAACTTTAACCCTTCACCAGAAGGCACGCTGGGATTATCCGGACTTTGGTGCTGGTGCTTCTGCTCTTCTCCTTCACTGGAGTAGCCGCAGGCATCAATTGATGCAATATTTTCTTGCGAGCTGTCCAGTCTACGGGTCGTCGACTGCACGTCTCTCATAGACGTGCGAACAGGAGAACACAAGCGCCGTCATGGTAGAGACGGAGGCTGTCGTTGCAGTAAGAACACGCAGACACGAAGAAGAACTGCAGGCTTTGGGTTTTCATTTCCCCGATCAAACGAAGATCCATCGCAGCGCTACACTGAAGGGGCAAAGGCTAATTCGGGGTTTGAAGTTGCACCCTCCTGAACGATATTATGCCGCTCCGGCATTTGGAAGCACCTTTAAATTGTTGAAGTGCACGCTATGAACTGCATAGTTTACAACAATAGCATACATGAGCGGCAGCTCGGAATGCACAGCAGACTCCCTCTGCACTCGCCGAGAGGAAGTTAAAAAAGTATGGATGTCAAGTGATCTAGAGGTGTTTTATTGTTTTCAAAGAGCTTGTTGTAAATGAGCATGAGTCCATTCCATATTAAAGCCATCTATGCGGAATTTCCAACGCAATGCCCAGGCGGTGCAGGCTGTGAAATAAGCAAACGGCCCCACCTGCACACAAGGGAGTCGGGCGGCGCAGCAACAAAACCAAATATTAAAAAAAAGGATGAGGAGATTTTATTAGAGCTCCCTTCAGGTGGAACTGCTCACCGTCATGCGGATTTTCTTCTGTCGCCATTCACTGCAAACCATGGCACGCTGGATGCTTTCTCGATCGGTGGGGCTCGTTTGACTGCCCCGGACCCCGTGCTAATTGAGTAGTTCGAAAGCAGCAATTCTCCTCTCCAAGCTTTGAAATTGTTAATATTAATTATTGTAAAAGACCCTTGGGGTTCCTCTTCGTTCACAATAACTTGGGCCGGCGGCGAGCCCAATCGACATCAGACATTGGCTCCCGAAGTCACCGTAGACAGACAACTATTCCCTAGCTGCCGCATTCGATATCATGGGAAAGATCAATGATATTAATCTAATATGCTGTTTCATTTGCATATGCTGTGGTGAAAAATATGAAGATGCACGCGAAGACGAAGGATGTGAAGTGCTGCAGGTGACTCCTTGCTACTCTCAACAGGCCACGAATACTCAGAGGTCTTGTGCTTTGAATTTATACCTTTTTCAGCAAATATGTTTGTTTTCATTTGGGCGTGTTTAGTGCACTGTTATTTTAACTGACGTTGGATGGATTTATCAAGCTTGGATGGGCGGTCCACCTCGGGGTAGACCAACGGTTCCTGGGGTCCTCGACCTGTGGGGGTTGGTTGAGGCTTGGTGTGTAGATAAAAAATGAGAGCAACAGGGATGAACTTATTTCCTCTCAAAAGCCTTCTTACTTTCGTTTTTACATGTAAGGCTCTACATGTGGCTCGTTGTCCCATTCATCCTGGCCTCCTCGTGCCATACAGTTGGCTACCAAAGGTATGCTAGCAACCTGGAAAGCTTTTGAAACTGGCTTGCTGCCTATCCTCAGCATATCATTCCCCCTTCACAGACGCACACCATCCAAGTGTAATATACTTGTGCAATGTACAATAGATTTAATTCCTTGGGGTAGCTCAATTCCCCCCGTGAATCCCCGCAGTGTCCGCTTGTAGACGTAGCGATCACCGAGAGTGAGAGTGTAAGAGGCGACGGCCTGTATTGAGTGACAGCACTACTTGCTTAAACTTCTGGTGCAGAGCAACCTCTCATGCAAATGTACCAAAAAGCCTCCTATTCATGCACGGACTAACACTGTGGACCATTGTTAAATATCTACTTGCATATCAATGACACCAGTCTGCTGTCAAGTGTAAGTACATGTATCAACTTTAGGCGTACAATGCTACTGAGAACTCAACTCTTCCTTCAGTGATGCCCAGTGCTGCTGTTCCTCGGACGTCCTCTGAATCGAACACCCCAAAACTGAGGTTTTAGTCGATCATCACGTAGGAGTTTGGGCATTTCTTCGTCGTTACCTGAAGCGTTTCAGCATTGCGTAGAAACCTCCTCGTTCCCCTTTCTTTGAGACCTGGCTTTCATTGGTCTTACCGTAGAGGATGCAAATGGCACTGGGAACGCTAATAGGTGCACACTCTCAGAGCTTCCCGGAACGTGGACCACACCAGTGTCAGCTGAATAATGTCGCGGTGAACTCGTCCTACATAGAACACCCGTATGATGGTAGTATTCCCCAGTCCTGAATAAATCTCGAACTTTCTACCGAGGGTTCTACCAATTCGTGTGTCTTCGATGCCACCCTAACCGTATTCGCAGCGACTACGCCAACACGTACACGCCCAAGATACTACTCCTCGTCGCAGTGTGAAGTAGTGCTCGCAAGTCCTGACCATTCATATGGAGTTGGGTAAGCACATCGCTGGCTCAAGGCGGATTCACAGTTGCGGCATGCCCTTCTTCGGCCCCAGCACTGCGCCGCACGATGCACATGGCCTAGGAAGTTCCCCAGACCGCTTTATTAGTTCCCCTGGTGACGCTGCTCGAGTTTGTGCCTCCCAAGTTATTAAGCACTTTTCATGCGTCTAAAATCTCGAATTGTATGGCCTTTCTTCCAAAAAGAAACAAATGTGCCTGCTCAGCACGTCCTTAGGGTACCCTGCTTGCCGGATTCGCCGGCAGTTGTTTCCTTTTTTTCTATGTTAATGCAAAGCACCAGCGGCGCTATATCTGGGATATTCCGAATTGTGCTTTCTTCCCTTTCAGCTGTGGCGGTGGAAACGGCTTTTGTTCTCTCTTTGACGCGTATGTACTTCATCATCGCTGCGAATCCCATCCATTCTCCCCTTACTTCCATCCACGCGGTTCAGATGGTTACTGATTTCCTTTCACCAGGAAGCACCCCTCTGATAAAGTATTCATGACCAAGCTCTGAATTCACCACTACACTTTGTGTTTACCGGAATAAGTGTGTCTCCACTTCGATAGTTTTTCTCCTTTGATGTCTTTCATTTATGCCACTGCATGGTTTCTTGATAACATACGAATAAACCTACCGCAAAGCTCACTTTGGAAACCTTGCGTAGTCCGGATGCGTTCCAGAAGCGTAGCGCCTTGGCGTAGATACCGCTACCACTATCTAACGGACTCTTGTAGCAGAGGCAATGCCAATGGCAAAGATAGATTTTGGAGAGCCTGTTGAAGACGAAAATGCAACTCCGCAGCATCAAGACACTTTTTCACTGCCCCGTTTTGCAGCGCCCGCATCTGGACAGTTTTCATATGCGAAGACATTCTTCATGAATTTGTCTTGCTACAAAGGCATTTTCAACAGGGTAGACGGTTCAAACTGTACTTATTTCACAGGAAAAACGCTTCAGCCTTGAAAACAGTTTTCGACACTGCTTATGGATTTTTTCTGTGCCAAACTTCTTCACGGCACATCAGTAGTAGGCAGCAGGCTTGACAGCTATGCGGGTGGCATTCTCAGCTCTTGCCTGCCCCAATGAAACATGAGGTGCAGGGAAGCGTATAGAAAGAACATAGCCTTTGATGAGGACCTTCATGCGCTGCAGTGGAATCAACAATGCAAAAGACAATAGTCCCCGGGCGTCTATGACGCACGCCTACTGTCCCCAAGGGTGGTAAAAGGAAAATCAAAGAATTGGTGATTGCAGAAGGCTGCCTGTCTAATGCTGAAGCAGTTTTCGTTGCATGTCCCTCTCAAACAAGATCCAGATGCAGACCTCCATTGCTCCCCCTGGGATGCGTGCATTGACGCCGTAGTTAATTGTTGGACACAGATTTCGCCTCTAACAGCCAATATGAACAAAAACAGGGAGGCAACCATATACCCCTAGCAGGCTTTGTTAATCAGGGCTTTAAGCTGTCACAGACTGCTGCGAAAACCAGAGATTATGCACGTCTAAGGCCTTTCGTTGCCGAGCAGCTCCGCCAGTGATTGTTTTGGAGTTTGGGCTGATTGTTAATGATGCATGGTTATGCGGATCTGCATCCTTCGCGTTGTTTTCGGTAAGTTAACGAACGCCTAACTGGAGGAGGGGATTAAGTATTGAACGTAACGTAATGTAAGGTAACGAAGTAATGCATAGATGTTGGCGCGTCTTTGCACTTGTTTCCAGTGAAGAGGAAACAAAGGAAGGAAAAAGCGTTTGTCATGAGAAATGCAGCAATTGAACAGCCAATAATCGTGAGAAAAGATGTTTCTCTTCTACGAGTGCAAGTATATCGTGCAGCCGACGCGAGAACATGCATATTAAAGCTGTGTATTATCCCTTTTATCCAAAGGGTATTTGGTGTTTTATAATTTAAAAACTTAGGAATTTTAATTACCTCTCAGCTTTTTGATTTAATAACAACAAAATAATGAAAAGATATCATCTTTCGCCCGCTGCAGCGTTAGACCGAATTGAAACAGTATACAGTAATATGGGGTGGGTTCGACGCTTGCACCGTTGTTGAGTTGTTCCCTAAGGAGATTCAGGTGTTTAAAAGTGCGGAATATTACATTAAAATAATTAATATAATTGTTTTTCTTGTTTTCAATTCATGAGAAGCTGCAGTTTCTGCTGATTGTTTAAACTCCCCCCGCTCCTGCTGCCGGTTAAGACCATTGGTCTCGAGTGCTATGGAGTACTTACTTGCGTCTTGATATCTCCCTTTGATTTATAATTAGGTGTTTAGTAGATGCATAAATATATTAAAAATATTATTTTTGCAACTTTAAACCATAGTGCTTCTCTCCTTACAGGCCGACGGCCTGTCGGTCTTTTTGATGACACCCAACGGAATAGAGTTATATACAAAGCCCTGAGATGGAGTTGGATGCATTATATAACGCCCCTTTGCTGCCTTCTGTATACCTAGAGGGCGATTCTTCTGTCTCTGCTCCTTGTGCTGCTGCTGCCCCGGCTTCTGCTGCTGCTTCTGCTGCTGCTGGAAAGCATGTGGGGGCCCCCCAGCGGGTCTCGCAGCGGACAGCAGCAAGAATAAAGCAGAAGAAACTACGAAGAACATTATTCATATCTCTAGCTTTTCTTGTGGCTTACTTGCTGCGACAGTTGGTGGTAGCTTGCAGCTCTACTCGCTTCCGTTCTATTAATAAAGGAGCTGCAGCAAGACGATTAGCGCAGAGACTCCAACTAGGTGGTAACCAGGATGAATATATGACTCAATTCGATGAAAGTACACTTGAAGAACTTTGTCTGGAGCTCGGGCCCTTCGTCTCGCAGCCTTCTCTTCCTGGGGCTCCTCGCTTGTCTCCTGATGTAGTAGAAATGGCGTTAAGATCCATAGAAGAAGAAGCAGAAGGAGAAGAAGCAGGAGAAGAGAAGAGACAACAACAGCAACAACAACTGTTTCTACTTGGACGGCAAAGTGTTGCACAGTCAACGCCGCAGCAGATGCAGCAGATTCAGCAGATGCAGCAGATGCACCAAATGCAGCACATGCAGCAGATGCAGCAGTTGCTGCACCTTGAAGCACCAGCATCACCACCACAAACACCAACAGGAGCAACAGCAACAGCAGCAGCAGCAGGAACGGGATCACCAGCAGCAGGAGCCCAAGAAGCCTCAGCACTGGCAGCAGCAACACAAACTCTTCCACTAGGAACAGCAGCAGCAGAACTATCACGAACGGTAGCAGCAGCAGGAGCCCGATCAGGACAAACACGATCACTAGAAGTAACAGCAGCAGCAATAATGCCAGCAGCAGCAGCAGCAGCAGCAACACCACGAGCACAATCAGGGCCAGCAAGGGCACCAGCAGCAGCACTACAACGACAAACCAAACCAGCAGCAGCATCTACAGCACGAGCACGAGTAGCAACAGCAGCAACACAAGCATCAGCACCAGCAAGAACAGCACGAGCACAAGCAGCAGCAGCACGAGCACCAGCAGCAGCACGAGGCCCAACCCCAGTTCGAATAGCACCAAAAAGAGCCCCAGCTCCAGTACAAGCATCAGCAGCAGCAGTAGCAGCAACACCACGAGCACGAGCACCAGCAGCAGCAGCAGCAGCACGAGCACCTTCAGCAGTAGCAGCAGCACGAGCACGAGCACCTACAGCAGCAGCACGAGCACCAGCAACAGCAGCACGGGCGCAAGCAACAGCAGTACAAGCACAATCAGCAACAGCACGGGCACCAGCTGCAGCAGCAGCAGCACCAGCACCAGCAGTAGCAGCAGCACCAGAAGCCGCACGAATAGCAGAAGCGCGAGGAGCAGCAGTAGCACCACCACCACGACCACCATCAGCAACAGCAGCACGAGCCCCAGCACCAGTAGCACCAGCAGCAGCAACAGGAGAAGGAGCAGCAGCAACAGCAGCAGCAGCAGCAGTAGCAGCAAGTCCCCGTATGGGGCCCCAGCAACCTGGGAGGCTTCCTTCAATCAGCGCCTTCGCTTTACCTCCTCCTTGCTTCCCGCCGGGATGGGTAGATGAGCAATTAGCAGATGCTTCCGTTGCTGCTGCAGCACAGCAGCAAATCGCCGGCTTCCCGCAGCAGCAGCAACAACAACAGCAGCACCAAATCGCCGGTTTCCCGCAGCAGCAGCAACAACAGCAGCAGCCGCATATTGCCGGCTTCCCGCAGCAACAGCAACGACAACAGCAGCCGCATATTGCCGGCTTCCCGCAGCAGCAGCAACGACAACAGCAGCAGCAGCTGCAACAACAACAACCAATACTTCAACCAAAACAACAACAACATCAACAACTACAGCAACAACTACAGCAACAACAACAATACCAGCAGCAACAGCAGCACCAACAACAGCAACAACAACCGCAACAGCAGCCGCAGCAGCAGCAACAGCCGCAGCAACAGCTGCAGCAGCAGCCGCAGCAGCAGCAACAGCTGCAGCAGCAGCAACAGCCGCAGCCGCAGCCCCAGCCACATGTTCCCTTCATCATTCTGTCTCGCCGGGGTCCAACGCCTTCTGGTATAACTAAGGAGGTAGGCATATATATGCCTTTCGTAGCAGGCTCGGGTGTATCTGCAGCTCACAGCAGCAGCACGATGGCATCACTCAGCCACTTAGCAGCACCAGCAGCAGCAGCAGCAGCAGCACCAGCGGCAGCAGCACCAGCAGCAGCTGCGGCAGCAGCACCAGCAGCACCAGCACCAGCATCAGCAGCAGCAGCAGCCGCAGCAGCAGCAGGGGAACCTTTGTTTCTGCTGCAGCAGCCAGCAACCGTGAAGACGAGTGGAGTCTCCTTGTTTGCAGCAAGGGAGACAGCAGCAGTAGCAGCAGCAACAGCAACAGCAGCACCAGCAGCAGCTCGCGGACTCGTGGAACAGTCGTATGGTAAAGGTGCGGGCATAATGTGCATCCCTATTATCAGCAGCAGCAGCGGAAGCAGCAGCAGCAGCATGAGCAGCAGCATGAACACTGCGAACGTCAGCAGCGGGGAAGGAAGCGGCGGCAGCATCAGCAGCAGCAGCTTGATAGCCAGCAGCTGGCTAGGCAGCAGCGATAGCAGCGAAGAGGAAACCAATAAAGAAGGCTGTTGGGGGGGAACGAGCAGCATGTGCAGCAGCATCACGCATGCTGCTGTATATGGGAGAGGCTATTCTGTGCCAGTTGCTGCTGCTCCTGCTGCAGCCCCAGGGTTTCCTGTAGCTGCGCAGTATTTACCTATGGCCACCAGCGACGATCCGGAGCCCTCCACATCAGCAGCAGCAGCAGCAGCGGCAGCGGCAGCAGCACAAGCAGCAGCAGCAGCATCAGGAGGAGGAGAAGGCGCAGCATTATTCGGCGCAGCAGCAGCAGGAGCAGTAGGAGGAGAAGGTGCAGCACTATTCGGAGTAGCAGGACCAGCAGCAGCACCAGCAGCAGCAGCACCAGCAGTAGCAGCACCAGCAGCAGCAGCACCAGCAGCAGCAGCACCAGCAGTAGCAGGACCAGCAGTAGCAGGACCAGCAGTAGCAGGACCAGCAGTAGCAGGACCAGCAGTAGCAGGACCAGCAGCAGCAGGACCAGCAGCAGCAGCAGCAGCAGCAGCAGCAGCAGCAGGTCAGGTGCCGTTTGTATTCAGAGGAGTTAGCCTATCAAATCATCCGCTTCTGCGCATGTCGCCTCTTAGGCCTGGCGTTATTCCGCGTCCGTTTAATAGCGTTGCAATGAGCCTTCCTGTTAGTCATTGGGGTTTAGTGTATACACTGAGAGATGTAAGAGAACATTTTCTTCTGCCAAGCCTAGGAAAGAGGGAAGCCGATTCTTTAATGGAGGATACAGAGGAGTTAGTAGCCTATGCTTTAACTATGATGCGCTCAGGCCTTGATAATTTAACTCCTTCTGCTGCAGTGTATAGACTGGGATGCCGATTGTTATTATTTGATGCACTTTATCGTTTATCTATTGTCTTAGGGCCTAGATGTAGACGTGATCTTTGGATAGAAAGCATTGCTAAGAGTATTCCTACATCTTTTAATCATAAAGCACCGGGAAATCGTTCAATGAAAACCCTTAGACATTATAAACTCGCAAAAAGATTAAGTGCTGCACTTGATGTATATAAACAAGGTGGTGCACCCCCAGAAGAAGAAGTACTTTTTCTCAAGCAAAAATTATTCTGCTCGCGCTCTTCACCTCCTTTCTTTCAGACAAGAGCTTGGAGTGCTTGGCATGCAGATTGTCTTCATACGTATTGGTACCCGTATACACATGCATTATAATTATTATATTATCATATATATATATATATATATATATATATATATCTTAATCTAATTCTTCTTGAATA